GAATTTTTTTTTCCGCATTTACAGGTCACCTGACGTACGTAACAGTCGACCATTCTTTAAAGAAGGTGCGGTGTGTTTGGACAGAGTTCTTCTTTAAACTCATAAAAGACAAGAGTATCACAGGAATACTGGATTCTAAACCTAAAAAAAAAATGCCAAATTTATCAATACATTGAAGCAGATATGAGGGAGAAACACCCAGAAACACCTCATATGTGCCGCTCCCAAGCATAAGGGGTTTTCCTTGCCATTAAAGCTTGGATAATTAAAAAATATCCATTCAAAATAATGTCTAGTGCGGTGGCTGGGATATACATAAACCTACCAGCATCCATTTCCATGATGTTTGGAATGACTTATCGCGAGAGGAAAAAATGACATTTCAGTCGCATAACATCAGTTAATGGAAACGCCGTCATTTCACAATAGTTTTCTATCGACATTTAGAAAATCTCGACTCTTGCGCAAATCTGTAATGGAAACGCGGCTACGGGTGCTTTAGGGCTTATTTAAGGTTTGATTTGAGCAGATGTGAAGTATAAAATATAGTATCTGACATCCAAAGCATGAAGAACGCTACTTTAGTGCATGCAGTGCAGAATCCGCATTTACAGCAAGTGTGTGTTGTGTTTGTGCACACAGGTGTTTCTCTGCAGTCGTACCTGCCTGAAGTGAAGGACCTCCTGCAGGGAGACGAGCTGGAGAGTCTGAAGTCAAAGCCCTACTTTGAGTTCCTCCTGCGGGCCAATTATGAGCACTACCTGAAAGCTCAGATATGACATCACATTACTACTGTGTTTCCTTGTTAATATTACAACTTTGTTTTGTACCGTTTCATAAACAAATAAATGATTACATGATCCAACACTTAAATTAGCTGAATAAACTGTATTTCTGTCATTTACACATCAATTTCAGTGGTTTTCTTCAGCTGCAAGACAAAAGGCCGTGTTGATTTGGCAAAAGATATAGAGAATTTTAACTGTAACGGTGGCACAGTTCGGTTAACACAGACATAAATGTTTTTACACAGCAATTTTAATAGTATACTTTTATTCTAGGGGCTGAGGCGGGTCAGAGTCTATCATTACGTCTTTACACTGAATTTTGAGCAGGCACAGATCAGCCTTAACTCAGCTGTGTAAAGTAGATAGGATAATAAAGACAAACGGGTGCCAACCAAATGGTGACCTTTACACTGCAAAGGTGTCAGAAGTGCTTCTGAAGTGGCTTGAAGGCATTTATACACCAGTTACAACGGCATGCTTTGATACTAGTGCCTGAGGCGGGTATAAAACAGGGTGGCCGCGGGTCCTTAAAAAGTCTTAAATAAAGTTTTCCTAAATAAAAGGCCTTAAAAAGTATTAAAATGTCTTAAATTCAGATTCGATGGGTCTTAAATATTTCTGGTCACATTACCGTTAAAATTTCTCCTGTCTGACGGACCCAATGTCCGTCAAATAACCAGCGAAGCGTCGAATCGCGAGAATGATTCTGATTTCATTACATAAACAGCGATTGATAATGATTATGTATTTCTGGTAGCGCTGTTGAGACTAGCCTGTCTTTGTGAGAGATTTTATAGTGATAAATTAAAACAAACGAGCATAACAGCACATGAAAAAACGCACAGAAGAAACATACTGAGGTAAAAATTGAGTTTTTTTTATTTATAACATAACATGACGGGAGCTATTTTGCTGAATATTCTCACGATTGCAAATGTAACATTGATTTTAGTTCAATAAACAAGTAGTTAATATTAAATTACTTAGGTTAGGCTAAACATTAAATATTAGCCTACATATACGTTTGTAATATAATGTGTATTTCCATCACAAGTTTGGTCTTAAATTTCATTCAAAGTGGCATTAAAAAGGTCTTAAAAGTCTTAAATTTAACTTGTTTTTATCTGTAAACACCCTGATAAAAGCTACTTATTTAAAGCCAAATCCTGGCTTAATCTAAACCCTGTCTGTGAAACCAGGCCTTAGTGTTCAAAATGAAGCATTGTGTTTGTCATTAGTGGACCACGTTTAGCTAACATGCATCCACCAAAGATTTACCAAAACATCCGTTTATCAAATGTGAAAATGTGCAAAAATGCTCTAGATTATTTATTTTTTTGCAGGATTTGTTTGCAGATACCGCTGGGTTAGATATCTAATGCAGTGAAATCCAGACATCTAAGTGTCCAAACACTTTGTATGTGCGAGGCTTTACGTGACCTTTTTGACATCATTTTGTTTTTCTTTTACTCCTTGTTCTCATCTGTCGCTCCCACTCAGTCTTCCTCCTCTTCTTCCTCCCGCAGCTGGCGTGAAGAGAGCAGCTGAACTGATGGAGAAGCAAATGTCTCCCCTGAGCTCCTAAAAATAGGGAGGGGAGGGTAAAGTTAGTGCCGTCCACAGTAAATATGCTGGACTTTACGGGGGTTCTCTGTCACCCTATATGGGGTGGGAGCCTCAGGAGTCTCTAACCACACTAGATAAACTGTCTAGGAAATATGATACTCATTGTTTGTGAAGTGGGATTTAGCCATGGCATCAAATATCACTGAGATATGATTGTCTAATGGCTGTTTAATGACTGTCTAATAATTTAATAATAGTCTCCAAGTTTAAAAAACGGACACTTCATTAGTATCCTGTTCTCTGAAAGGCTTTGCTAAGTGGTTATTTTGATATTATTGGTCATTGGTGATACATTTGCCGTGACTTCACAGCTTTACTACTATAATTCCAGCTGATGATCAAGAAAATACAGTCAACCTTCTTTCAATAGTGATAGTATCTTTTTAATATGGTGACTACATTGTTTATTTAAACCGACTCAAGTAGGAGATTCTCCAAGATGTTTTGGTAACACTTTACAATAAGGTTCATTACTTAACATTAGTTAATCTATTTACTAACGTGAACTAACCATACATGTGTTGCTGTATTTGTTAATCTTTGTTAATGTTAGTTAATAAAAATACAGCTGTTCAGGTTAGTTCACAGTGCATTAACTAATGTTAACAGGATTTTAATAAAGTGTTAGTATATGTTAAAATTAACAAAGATTAATAAACTTTGTACAAGTACAGTTCATTATTAGTTCATGCTAACTAGTGTAGTTAATAATGAAACTTGTTGTAAAGTGTTACCGATGTTTTCTTCAACCCCTTCATACATTTTTTTGGGATGTGTATGATGGAAGTTGAAATAGATGCTGCTACTAATCATACACACACACACACACATATATATACACTCACCGGCCACTTTATTAGGTACACCTGTCCAACTGCTCGTTAACACTTAATTTCTAAGCAGCCAATCACATGGCGGCAACTCAGTGCATTTAGGCATGTAGACATGGTCAAGACAATCTCCTGCAGTTCAAACCGAGCATCAGTATGGGGAAGAAAGTTGATTTGAGTGACTTTGAACGTGGCATGATTGTTGGTGCCAGAAGGGCTGGTCTGAGTATTTCAGAAACTGCTAATCTACTGGGATTTTCACGCACAACCATCTCTAGGGTTTACAGAGAATGGTCCGAAAAAGAAAAAACATCCAGTGAGCGGCAGTTCTGTGGGCGGAAATGCCTTGTTGATGCCAGAGGTCAGAGGAGAATGGCCAGACTGGTTCGAGCTGATAGAAGGGCAACAGTGACTGAAATAACCACTCGTTACAACCGAGGTATGCAGCAAAGCATTTGTGAAGCCACAACACGCACAACCTTGAGGCGGATGGGCTACAACAGCAGAAGACTCCACCGGGTACCACTCATCTCCACTACAAATAGGAAAAAGAGGCTACAATTTGCAAGAGCTCACCAAAATTGAACAGTTGAAGACTGGAAAAATGTTGCCTGGTCTGATGAGTCTCGATTTCTGTTGAGACATTCAGATGTTAGAGTCAGAATTTGGCGTAAACAGAATGAGAACATGGAACCATCATGCCTTGTTACCACTGTGCAGGCTGGTGGTGGTGGTGTAATGGTGAGGGGGATGTTTTCCTGGCACACTTTAGGCCCCTTAGTGCCAATTGGGCATCGTTTAAATGCCACGGCCTACCTGAGCATTGTTTCTGACCATGTCCATCCCTTTATGGCCACCATGTTCCCATCCTCTGATGGCTACTTCCACCATGTCACAAAGCTCTAATCATTTCAAATTGGTTTCTTGAACATGACAATGAGTTCACTGTACTAAAATGGCCTCCACAGTCACCAGATCTCAACCCAATAGAGCATCTTTGGGATGTGGTGGAACGGGAGATTCGCATCATGGATGTGCAGCCGACAAATCTGCGGCAACTGTGTGATGCCATCATGTCAATATGGACCAAACTCCCTGAGGAATGCTTCCAGCACCTTGTTGAATCTATGCCACGAAGAATTGAGGCAGTTCTGAAGGCAAAAGGGGGTCCAACCCGTTACTAGCATGGGGTACCTAATAAAGTGGCCGGTGAGTGTATATATATATATATATATATATATATATATATATATATATATATATATATATATATACACACATATTGGTCAATTCATGCAAAATGAGATACATTTTGACATTAATATGACTTTTGAAAACTGGCCTTACTTGATTTCACCCTATTAAATATATTGCACCTAAGACTTTCATCATTCCTGGCTTTGCTATTTTTGTTTTTAACTTAACCTATAATATCTGAAATTAAAATAATTAGCCTATGAGAATTAATGCCCCACGAAAGAAAATGGTAAACAATCATAAGCCACTGCCATGACCTTATATTGGTGTATAGCCCACCACAAACACACAGTGCTGCTGGTCTCAGTGTCCACTGGTTTAATTGGTGGCGCTGGCCTCGGACTGGCCTTACACGGGCCTGCGCCCGCGCGCTGGGGTTTGGGGTCTAGAGCGCCATATATGGAGCGTCCCGCGCGCCCGGAGCGCGTCGCTGTGCGGCTCACACAGGCGAGGCGTTGAGACCCTCCGCTCGACCCAACGACACCCAAATATGGATGAGGATCGGGAAGAATTCCATTCGAATGCATTGACATTCCTTAATGGTTGTCCGAAGAGCTGTAAAAGCAGGGACGGGTATATAAGGTGTCGCGACTCACTGTGTACCAGGAGCCATTGGCACTTCAGTTTGACTTGAGGACTCTGAGCACGAGCAGACACAGGTAAGCGCGCGCTGACACCAGAACACACACACACACCCCTACGATTGAGCAGCGGATTTACTATTTCACGATTCAGACCTGGAACATTTAAGTCAAGATGTGAGTGGAAGGATTAGACGCTTATCTTGTTTTTTACAACGGTTTTGCTTTCGTTGAAGAGGAGTCAACACTTTTTTGTTGCATTGATATCATGGAAACTTTGCTCTGACTGTGTATCTTAAGTGTAAACTTAATTTTTCCGAGTGTATTTTTTTTTTATCTAGCTATTTTGTAACGAATCCGTAACGCGCAATTCACTGTAAAAATTATATTATCAATAAGTTATGACAACATGTTTTTGTTTGTAACAATACGTTAACCAATTTTCAACTTTTGTTATACTAAGTTTAGTTATACACGATTCAACTCATTTTTAAGTCAGTTTAATTAAGTTGAAATAAGTTGATTGTACTTTTAAAATAACGCAGAAACTTTTTTTACAGTAAAGCTGAATTCATTGATGTTTATTTGATTATATTGGTGCAAATGAAATACAATAAAAATGACATGTCTTCTCACATCTTTTAATTTAAATTCCACTCAGATATTTAAGTGTTAGGCAACTGAATAAATATAATTTATTTATTTATTTATTAATGTGTTTCTCAGTGTGACCTGAACATTTGTCAGCGGTTTGGTTTGGATAATGCATTCAGCTCTCACCAAATTTTATTTTGAGTTAGTAGTGTCCTCTTCAACTTTGTTTTCTCACTGACTTGGTCTATTCTTAGAACCCATCAGAATGTGCGACGACGAAGAGACCACAGCTTTGGTGTGCGACAATGGCTCTGGCCTGGTCAAGGCTGGTTTTGCCGGTGATGACGCCCCCCGGGCTGTCTTCCCCTCCATCGTCGGCCGCCCACGTCACCAGGTACAAACAGAGATCCTTTCTGGATTTGTGTTAGTCTTCGCAAGGTGAAATTGTACCGGGTTATCTTTGAGCTATTCTGATCGTGTCGCTCTTGTTCCCCTCCAGGGTGTGATGGTCGGCATGGGTCAGAAAGACTCCTACGTTGGGGACGAAGCTCAGAGCAAGAGAGGTATCCTGACCCTTAAGTACCCAATCGAGCACGGCATCATCACCAACTGGGACGACATGGAGAAGATCTGGCACCACACCTTCTACAACGAGCTCCGCGTGGCCCCCGAGGAGCACCCAACCCTGCTCACCGAGGCCCCTCTGAACCCCAAGGCTAACCGTGAGAAGATGACCCAGATCATGTTTGAGACCTTCAACGTCCCCGCCATGTACGTGGCCATCCAGGCCGTCCTGTCCCTGTATGCTTCTGGCCGTACCACCGGTAAGATTACGAAAGGGCAACAATTACTCAATCAGTTTGAATTTTATATATGGGGTGTAACAATATATCGCAATACAAAAATGCAACAATATGTATCGTGGATAGTTCATTCCAAAGTGAGAAAAAATTCAAGTTTTCAGAGTTTTAGTGCCAGTACTACATTAAACTACTGTACTATATATAATGTATAATAATGCAATGGGGGAATCTTTGTGGGTCCTGATAATGCCAGATGTCTAATGTTACCATTAAAAAGTGGTATTTTTTCGTTAGCATTTTATCATATGTCTTGAAGTATTGCAATAATATCATATCGTGATATGTATCGAATCGTTACATGAGGGTATCGTTACACCCCTATTAGCCACTAATAATGCATTTAAAACGAGCTCTCTTGTTCCCTCTCTGTCATTAGGCATTGTGCTGGACTCCGGTGATGGTGTGACCCACAATGTGCCCATCTATGAGGGTTACGCTCTTCCCCACGCCATCATGCGTTTGGACTTGGCTGGTCGTGATCTGACAGACTACCTGATGAAGATCCTGACTGAGCGCGGATACTCTTTCGTCACAACCGGTGTGTACCTCGTCACTTTTTACTGGCATACACTGCCGTTCAAAAGTTTGGGATCTGTAAGTGTTTTTTTTTTTTTTTTTTTTTTTTTTTTTTTTTTAAAGAAGTCTCTTTAAAGTCTCTGCTGTCCAAGGCTACATTTATTTGATTAAAATATATATATATATATGTTTATTATTATTTTATTAATTATTTTAATTCAATATTATGAAAATTTTAAATAACTGTTTTCTATTTTAATATATTTTAAAATGTAATTGATTCCTGTGATCAAAGCTGAACTTTCAGCATCATTACTCCAGTCTTCAGTGTCACATGATCCTTCAGAAATCACTCTAATCTGATGATTTGATGCTTAAAAAACGTTCATTATTACGATATTATCAGTTTTTTTCAGACGTTCAAAAGAACAGCATTTATTTAAAATACAATCTTTTGTAATAATGTAATGTTTTTTTGTTTGTTTTTTGTTTTAATCAAATAAATGCAGCCTTGGTGAGCAGAAGAGACTTCTTTTAAAAACATTAAAAATTGTACCGAACCAAAACTTTTAAACGGCAGTGTGTGTGTGTAGTTAACCTTCTAGCATTGTGTGAAAGAAACCAACCAAATCTGACCTTGTGATTTGTCGTTCACCACAGCTGAGCGTGAGATTGTCCGTGACATCAAGGAGAAGCTGTGCTATGTTGCCCTGGACTTTGAGAATGAGATGGCCACCGCCGCCTCCTCTTCCTCCCTGGAGAAGAGCTACGAGCTTCCCGACGGTCAGGTCATCACCATTGGTAACGAGCGCTTCCGTTGCCCCGAGACCCTGTTCCAGCCCTCGTTCATTGGTACGTCTGAAAACATCTGAAATGATCAGCGGTTGTCTTATCTTTTAGTGCCCCAGCCATTTATATGCTCTCTTTAAAACACTTGCACAGGTATGGAGTCTGCTGGCATTCATGAGACCGCTTACAACAGCATCATGAAGTGCGACATTGACATCAGGAAGGACCTGTACGCCAACAACGTTCTGTCTGGTGGTACCACAATGTACCCTGGTATTGCTGACCGTATGCAGAAGGAGATCACAGCCCTGGCTCCCAGCACAATGAAGATCAAGGTAAGAGAGCTTGACTTTAACACCCGCCAAATGCGGGTGTATTTCAGCAGTGGCGTGTAACGCAGTCCCTCCTACTAACCACTTTGGTGGGTTGAAATATATATAATAAATACATTTTTCAATTATAGTCTTTTAAAAAGAGATCTGAAATAATAAACTAATGTACTGTTGTCAGAAATATAGATTTTTCAATACAAATCGATACTGAAATATCTGAAACGCTTCCAATACTCATTTTCCGCAGAATAGATACATGATACAAGCTGCTCTTTCTCTCTCTATCATCTCTCCAACAGAGAGTTACACACAAACCCAAAGTGCGGCACATGAAGCCGCCTCTCAGTACCCCAGACAGCAACATAGTGTCGGCCCAGATCCGGCCCACATCTGGTACATGTTGACCTGGGCCGGATCTGGGCCGACACTATGTTGCTGTCTGGGACTAAATTGAGTTATTTTCCCCCACTTAAACAGTCAAATACACACAAAATAATGTCATACTGCCGGTCTTGGCGAGTATTCACGTAAACACATTCAGTTCTGTTTTAAGTGAAAGTAAACAGTTGAAAAAGAAAAGGGATGTGTAACAGTATAATGGATCAGTGCATCAGGTCTTAAAGTAACAGCAGCCTAATAAACCTCCTGCCAAATTATAAGATAATATTAAACATATTTTTTATATGTCCGTATTTCCCCATGGTGTCGATGTCAAAACTGTGGCCAGTGAAAATGGCTAGTAACTTTGGAAAACCACTAGTCACAGTGGCTGGTTAGCAAAAAAGTTATTGTCAAGCCCTGTCTACAGCAATAATACTCAAGTTGGATAATACTTTGGATTAACATGCGTTGATGAGTGTACAATATAGGCAAGGAAAGTTTATTCATTGAGTATAAAGTGTCGGTTTTTCCATGTAAACTGGATATGTGTTGATCTTCACACTTCACAGTATAGATTGGTTTTCTGAGTAATATTTGATTTCCTCCTCTGTAGATCATCGCTCCCCCTGAGCGCAAGTACTCCGTCTGGATCGGCGGATCCATCCTGGCATCCCTGTCCACCTTCCAGCAGATGTGGATCACCAAGCAGGAATACGATGAGGCCGGTCCCAGCATCGTCCACCGCAAGTGCTTCTAAGCGCCCGGCTCAAAGCGTCCGTATCGTTGCTTCCTGCTCAGGAACCGAGCTACGGTGCATTGCTCCTGTGGACAGTTTTTCTACAGCCGTTATTTATGCAACGCCGTAGGAGCGAGCAGTTGAAGCATAAACTGAGAAAAGGACACTAACACATCAAGGGAGAGAAAAATACCAAGCACTCTTATTGCACACAAATGTATTTATTACTGACTATCATGGCTTGGTATTTTTGGCGAATGCTGCTTGAAATGGAAGGACGCCTCTCCCTTAGATTCCAGTGCCATACGTTCCACTGTACGCCTGGTCCAGTTGACGACCAACACAAATCACACTTCAGCAGACAAATAAAACTGAAAATCTGTTTTTAAACATGGTGCTCGTCAATATGTCATTTCAGTACTTTTGTAAGATTCTGGGTTTCAGCCCACACTGAGACAGACTAAACAACATTTACCCAAACTCTCAGATGGTTTACTTTACACTGAGAGAAGTCTTGTTATGTCTGTAATCTGACAACTATAAACCATCTGGGCTGTTTAAATGGGCTCTAATGGAGGATGAATGTATATGGGACAATTAAGCATTACAGTAGCGCTGACAGTTTTTAGTTTATACTCTAAAGGAATCGTAATCTTTATTAGCATTTAGTGTACATCATAATACCTGATTAGGTTGATTACTTATAAACCTAAAATGAATAGTACTGATTTATTACTGATTATATTACTGAAAAATGTCCTTTATTTGGTACTAGCTGTAAAGAAAAATGTTTTGAAGACAAAGTACTACCCTGATACCATCCAATTGTCATTGATGTTTAATTTTAACCAACAGCATAGAGATCAAATCAATATGAGAATATTGTATATCCTTAACTGATTTTTTATTAGTATTGTGTAATGAGGTGAAATATTTCATCTGACAGACAGAGCTGCGCATGCGCTGAGAAACTGTCGTCGCTAGTAATGAGAGGAATGTAGTATTCTGTACCTTACAATTGAAATTCTCCAAAAACATCGCGAAAATGTCGAAGGGCAAACTAAGTCCACATATAATAATAAACTTCCTCCACCCAATAGAACAAAGTAGGTGATTATAATCAAATTAGGATCAATTAAAGGTTGGATTGGATTGTGCGTGCGTACTTGCGCATCAGGTCCTCAAGCATTCCGAGTGTGATGGTATGCGCATGCGCACTGTAGATCTCCAAACCTGTACTATCAGTGAGGGTTGTTTTTCTACTACGCAGCAGGCGCACAACAATGATGGACAGACGTATTTGCAATTCGTAAGGATGTTAGAACAAAAATGGACGTCTTTATCCAACGTTAAAGCCTAAGGAACGGAAAAGAAAGGAGTGGGTGAGTTTAACGCGCTTACATTGATCCGAGTCAATGTTTACATACACACTCGGGCGCAGGTGAAGACAGACCTGTGAACATAGCGCGAGCTGCCAGCCAAACCACACGGGTTTATTTCAGTAATTAATTAGCGATTGATATATATTTTAATAGTTTGACAAATTTCTTAATAAAAACGTGCATTATTCTTTAATGCATTGATTTTTTTTTATAGATTATGATTATGCATTCTTGAACAAGATTTATTAAAATCGTACGATAAACGTGTATTATAAACGTCACAAGAACGTAAGAAATGTCGCTTTTAGAAAGATCGGATGTGACATCGGCTTATGTATTATGTAAAGAATATAAATAAATAATGTGGGCACTGGGCTGTAACCTACTCTGCCAAAGAGCTAGAATAACAAAATACACGGTTACATTTGATTTTACGGTGTCATTGTTACAGTGTAATTATATATTTAAGTACTGATTCATATTAATTAACAACATGCACTTACTATAGGGTTAGGGGTATAGGTTTTGGTTGAGGTATAGTAATGTAATCATGTATAATTTACTGTTATTACTATGGTAAGTACATGTAACTCGGACACTAAAACAAAGTAAAATATATTGCAGTTTGCACTGTATACTACGGAAAACAGATGGTGACGTGAAGTATGCGAACATGCATTGGCAAGACTAACATTTCCCATTTACATTATAATGTTCATTCCATAGGTGACTGACTGACTATATCAACAGGGCGAAATGTCTACCTATAACAACATCATATCCATGAAGATCCGGACAGAATACATGAAAAAGTTCAGAGATCCCAAGTGGGAGACATTCTCGAAAAGTTACGAGGACTCTGTGAAGTACAGACTGACGCGAAGAGTGATGGAGCAGACACACAGACCGTTATTCGAGAACGGATGGGACAGCGGGTCCGACTCCAGCGGGACGTCCAGTCCCAAACTCCAAGGGGTGAACGTCTCAAATGGCAAACACTACATATCCTCGTCAGAGTCCAAGAATGAGACTGTGGAGGTTCAGAAGTCCCGGAAGCCGCAGGTCAATGGAGAAGTTCACACGGATACCAGTGAAACCGTGGAAAGCTTGACTCCCTTGGGTAGGTTAATGTCTTGTGTGATCAAACTTTTCCTTTAAACAAACATATCAAATGATTATTTTTGCTTTTATCACAGAAAATGATCACAAAGGTGTGACCACTAACGGACCATCAGCTTCTTATCCGAAACGGCGTCAGAGATACCGGGCGCCCCGTTCAGAGCCATGCTACCCTAATAAAGAGCTGGATAGTGATGAATCACACCTGTCCATATCAAGAAAACCACCCAGGGCCAAGAGCCAACCCCCGGGCAACACCAAGGACCGGACGTCCAACCGCGACAACAGACGCTCTTTTATCCGCAGTGACTGGGCAGAGAGGCACATTGAGACCAGGGACAGAAGAACACCGAATATCCAAACGTCTGTGTCTGCTGGAGAGGTGAGGCTTTCTGTGTCACATCTGATATTAGACTCAATGAAATCTTGATGAGAACCATATACAGTTCATAATCTCTTGCCATGAGAATCTTCTTTACCCGCATGACTTTTCTTTTTTTTTTTTATATGTATGGACAGTATATATATATATATATATATACAGGTGAAACAAAAGTTAATTTATTTCAGTAATTCAACTTAACCCTCTGATGGTCTTCGGGGTCTATTGGACCCCAAATGACTTTTGCTCAAATTAAAAAAAATGTTCTTTGTCCAAATGGTTTGAAACTTTCTACGGCTCTCAACTCTTTCTAGATCTACAAAAAAAAAAAAAAAAGTACTGATATCTGTTTTTATGTTGGCGTTACAAAAATAGTCACACTCGTGGTCTTCGGGGTCTATTGGACCCCGCAATCAAAATAAACAAAATAACATCATCAAAATCAGAAACAACGTAGAACACATAGACAGAAATGACAGAAATAAAGTGGCACACTTCCAACAATGCAAAAAACATCCACAATCCAAAATTATCATGCTCACCACAGGCGCACACACACACACAAACACACACATAAAGAGGAATACATTTATACAGGAATACATACAGACTATAAAAACTGTTCTCTTATCATTTGTAAAATAAAATAATCTAAAATGCAGAACCACCAGAAAAATAAATTGGTAACACTTAGACGCATTGAAAATGTGCGCACACACACACACACACACACACACATACACACAAACACACACACACACACAGGAATACATTTGTAAGGCTATAAAAAGTCTTATAATTTGTCAAATAAAATCATACAAAATGAAGAACCACCACAAAAATAAATTGGTGACACTGTACACATAAAAATAAAAATAAAATGTACACACACACAACAACAACAACAACAGTGAAGTGCCAAACCTGCTCCAACCCTGTCTGCAGAAGTCATGCGGTTTACCATGCATAGTGTTTTTTAAGTACAAAAAATGCTAAATTTTGACAAAAATTATTTTATTTTTGTTATAATTGTGATTTTATAATATTTAGATATGAATCCAACTGAATCCAACTTTAGAAACTATATCTTTCAGTAATTCAAATAGCAAATAGCATATAATGGAGCTCTATAGCCATCTAGTGGTTAAAGTGATTTATTACAAATTTTAACCTGTATTTTCCAAAAAATGGGCAAAAATCTTACATTAAACCTTGTAAAATTATCCATGGTATCCCCAGGAATGAAAGTTAGAAATCTGGGTCTTTTATAAAGTTTATTTAACATAAAATGCTGTTTTTTTGTAAAAATCCTATTTAATTAAATATTTATTTATTTATTTATAGAAATTTTTTAAAAAATCATAAATTCTCCAAAAACTGCACAAATGTTGAGTAAAAACATTAATAAACAGAGTAAAATTATATTTGTTAAAAAAAAAAAATTTGTTCGGTTACAAAATTAAATGTTGTTGTCTGGGGTCCAATAGACCCCGAAGACCACGAGTGTGACTTTTTTTTGAAGACCATCAGAGGGTTAAAAGGTGAAACTAATATATTATATAGACTCATTACATGCAGAGTGAGATATGTCAAGCCTTTATTTGTTATAATTTTGATGATTATGGCTTACAGCTTATGAAAACCCCAAATTCAAATTTAGAATATTGTGCATGTAATATAAAAAATACAATTTTTTTCTAATATTTATATATAGAAACATTGCTGATATATATTAAAATAAAATATTTTGGCCATGCAATTTATAACAATAACATATTTTGGCTAATTTATTTATTTATTTTTCGGTATGGGTAGCCATTAGCCGAAGTAAATTTAATTTATATATATATATATTCTAATAATTCTTTTTACATTTTCTATATATTTACTATTATATTTATATTTCAGATGTTTTGTAATATATTTTCTCATAATATGTGGCCATATATAATTTCTTATGTATCTAAATATATTGTATGGGGTAGCCATTAGCAGAAGTGGTATTATAATATATATAAATATATATAGCTAACATTTTAAATATATTTTTTATACATATTTCTGATATTTTTGGCCATATATAATTTAATATATCTAAATATATTTATATTGCCCAATATATTTATATTTTGTTTACACACTTTTTGCTGTATGGGTAGCCATTAGCAGAAGTGAACACGAGTGTGTTTTTAACAGATTTGAATAAATTATACATACAAAGAGGGGAAATTCTGAAGTGGCTAAACAGTCGTGTCCTAATCAGTGGAATGAAGCAGCGAGTGAGACGTGACACTGCGTGAGGAAGCGGTGAATTATTCAGCCTGGAGCAGTGATATCCTTCTCTGGTTTACAAAGGTTCAGTAGGTTAAACAAAGTTGTTTTTCGTCACTGTAGAAAACCGCAAATGCGTTAAATCAGAGTGCCCAGAATCAGAATACATCTGATTTAATTTCCAGATTCATCAGGCCGACGTGGGCGTCCAGACACGAAGAGAGTCTAAAAAAGGTGTGCGGGCGTCAGAGCACCGGAGGGCGAGGTCAGCTGACCCGGAGAAGGCCCGGAGATCAGCCCTGAGCGTGACGGACGAGCGCTGGATGACGGAGTACATGCGCTGCTTCTCTGCTCGACTGAGGTAGAGGCTGATCCAGGATCAGTGGATTAGACACGAGGCGGCAGGAAACAGATCCCAAACCAGCACCACAGGACCGTTACAGCAGAGTTTGAGGAAGAGGTTACATGCATTCCTTTATATATTCCATATGACAACAAAAAATACAGAGATTATTCATTAAATATAAAAATAGTTCATATTTTTGATGCTGGCTACAATCACTTTCTCATGAATGCATACCAGGACCAAACATTTAACTACTAAAACACATTTGATATTGTTTGTAATATTTTCAATAGCTTATTGATTGTTATTTTATTCCCAATTCAGTGTTTGATGTCGTTGTAAAAAGGTTTCAGATCTTCTATCCTGACTTTAAACATGGGCTGCAGGGATTTAATGATCAAAGATAATTTGAGTGGACCAAACATTCGATATCTGTTCATGACTCAGATGATTGTTATTGAATGTTATTCTAGATAAACACGTCAGCTGATAAATGTAGTTCTTTTGAATGTGATTGACTGATATTTGGTTTGTTTGATTTGATCACATGGTCTCAGTGATTTGGTGTTTGAGAGGCCGTGTTAGTGCTGTGCTACTATGTACTTTTGCGAGTCACGAGAAGTGTGTTTTCCTCACCAATCACCAACAACCATCCTTTTAATCCACTCTTTGCACAAAGATGTCACATATTTAATATTTTTAGATGGAAAAATAATTGAGGGCTAGTTGAATGCCATCTTTTGATTCTTGTGAATGTGATAATTTCAACTGCGCAAATTATTATTATTATTATTCTGAGCACAGATTTGATATGAAACATATTTGCTCACATGTATATTTTTTTTGCTTCTCTGTGATATTAAAATGCATCAACACTGGTCATGTCGTAGACACTTTGAATGAGCCGTGACGCTTTACTTGAAACTTCATGTTTGTCGGGAGAAGTGTTAGTCTTAATAATTGGTTGCCTGTTATCTGGACTTATTCAGTTATTCACTTGCTTGTGATTTCATAAAAGAAAACTCACTCTGTTTAAGGCGAATCACAATGACGTTCTTGAATGAAGTATATAAAATATGCTAACTTGTGGATTTTCTTCAGCAATGTTTACATTTTGACCACTGTATTTGTATTTGAGAACATATTTTCATTTGCAGAACAGAAATACTCCTAATAATGCATTGCAGTGAATAAACTATGTTTGAGTAACGTCATGTCCCTCTGATATTCTGTTCATAAATCACAATATATGGGTCAAAATCCGACATGGGATTAATTAAATTTGACAAATCACGGAAAAATGTTTTATTGGAAAACTTTGATAATTGCCTTAATCTTGTAAACAACAGAGAAGATAGTGATCGAACTACATTTGATTGAAATTCCTGAATCTTTCATCAGCATAAGAGAGTCAAATTGGACGACTACAGGGACTCATTTCACGATCACTCGTTTAACCGTTCATCTATTGCCAAAATTATGAGAGGAAAAAAAGATCAGTTAAAAATCAGGGTTCGTACAGACACTAAAATGCAATTCCAGGACTTTTCAAGCACTACTTTTTGGTTTTCAAGGACTACGATCAGAGATGTCACTTATCAAACGATATCTTTATTGTCTTTCAAATTCTAAAAAAGGTAAATATATAAACAAAAATAAACTAATAAAACAAAATGGTACAAATAAATTGCAATGACCGTGGAAACTTTAACCATTGAAAGACAAAGATATCGCTTTCCTTATTCAAACTGTTTTTTTCTCCCATGAATATATGATTGACCTGAAGAATGAAAGATGTATCATATACTGGGATATTTATATGAGCAATATCAAGCAAAATGGCTCTATTTAAGACAGGCTGCAGCGTTGATTTTGTGTGAAAAGATTGTTTTATCAATCAAATTACTTCAAGCACTTTTCAAGTATCTTTTCATAAATTTGGCTGTTTTTAAAAAATTAATTCAAGTATTTAAAGCACTTTAAACATCTTGAACCCTGGAGAATAGAAAACTACAGGTTTCCAGTGTGCTCTTTTGGATCTCACTATGTGTGTGTGTGTGTGTGTGTGTGTGTGGTTAATGTCAACACTTCAGCTGGTTCTCTAATAAGAGTTTCTTCACATATGCCATAAACTGTCAGGCATCCACAGCACAGTCCAAATCCTCTCGCCACCTCAGAGACCAGCTGAGGTTTCGTCTGGACCTGCTGACGGACAGCACACAGCTTGGAGGTCTGGATCATGTCGTGATGTAATGCATGTCTTTGTTTTCTAGGCTGTTAAACAGCGTGATTCGAAGTGCTGACGTGCCATTGTGATCTGTTTAACCGGCACTATATATAGACACCTGCTAAAAGTCTAATCTCACTGACAGCTGCATGTCTGTGAAGCGCGGTGGACAGAAAACTAATGTGTGTGTGTGTGCTGGGAGATGTGCTAGAAAGTGTGCGTCACCAGAGAAGAGTTGTGTTTTACTGGTATACTGTGTCTAAACAAACATGTGTTGGGTTTTTTCAATCAGAAGCTGCATCTGTGGCTCTAAGGTTTGAAACTTTAGACACTCGTGTTACACTTGCCCACCTCCTTCATCTCCTTCCCGTTACACAGCAGATCCTGGGCGACGCTGATGAAGACCATTAACCAGAAGAAGAGCAGCTGTTTCTGTATCACACCTGTCCACACTGATCTTCGCCAACCCGAGCTTCTGTCGACCACTGGACCAGGAACTTTATAGAGTGCAGATTACGAAGATAGCGCACGTACGTCTCCAAGATGTCTGTTAAAGAGCACTTGATCTGGAAAACATCTGTTGTATACAAAACATTTGATAAACATCTTTTAAAAGAGCAGTTTTGCATACATTCTAAATCATAAACATCTTTAAGACATTTTCTGAATGTCTATTTAACATCTTCCAAATGTCAAATAGACATATCCGCAATGTATTCAGAGTAACGTTAGTATGCTATCTGTAGCCTAGCCTACTTATCTAAAAGTCAGCACATTTAACCTGGCTAAATATAATAACAATAATGAAGTTGAAAAAATTCCCTCATTTATATAACTCTTTGAAAGCATAGTGATACAGTATTGAACTCAAAGTTAATAATTAATAGATTATTAATAGTCTAGATAATAAAATGAGTCAGGCTTTCCTACAACTAAATGCTAATGATATTTAGTTTAGCTGCTACCTGTTTGACGAATCAGACAACCGTTAGAAAGCAGCGGCTTCAAAATTCACATTAAGATTCGAGCGTATCATTTATGTTGAAACCCTAAACTTTAATGTCTCTAGTAATATTACACACACCACACATCTATTATAAGGCCAGTTCATACAAAAACGATAACTAAAGATAACCATAACAATATTACTAAATTAGCTTCCACACCACAGAACGATAAACCTCTGTCTTAAAGTCTCGTGCTCTTTAAAGCGGAATGGATTCTGATTGGCTGTCAATGTTTTTTTTGTTTTTATTATAATTTCTCTGTGGCGTTATCGTTAATAATAAAGTTGTGGTGTGGACTGCTATTCTTTTATATTTAAAAACGATTTTAGAACTATACCTCATAGTTATCGACTCCTTGATGTGAATGGGCCTTTAAAATTCTCATAACTTGGGTTTTAGGATGAACTGAACAGAATTGTTTGGGACACTATCTGTCACTGTAAAGCTGTTTTAGATTTACTTTTTATTGTGAAAAGTGATATAAATCCTTTTTTTATATTTTTAAAAAATCAATTTTTCCAATTTAATTGAATCCCAATGCCAAAAATAGTGGGTTGAACCCCGAGGTGAGGCGGGTGAGTGCTGCTGTGCTGTCACTGTCGGTCAGTGTGTCCTGTAGGATTATTCCACATGTGATGAACATCTGTCCTCCTGTCTGTCCAGATCTGAACCATGCACTGTCCCGTCTGAATGGAGCCGTGTGTAAGTATTAGTGCCTCTGCACCTGTCGAGCACCTGAGCACATCATTAGCACACATCCCTGCTGTACGTGTAACATGTTTTACATGATGTTTTACATTTAAAGAAATGGAGCTTTATATTGACGCAATTCGATTTTCTATGAAGCAAAAAAGTGGCAATGTCTTTATAGGATCTACATCAATCCCCCAGACTCTCTTACATTTGGCTTTTTGTAAACTGTTGTTTTTGTAACATTATTTTCTGTTAATTAAAAAACAAACAATCAAAAACCAGGCGCACAGAAATCATGAGATTACTTGTCATACTTAGCCTGGTTAAAACCAGACCATTTTCAGTTGTAACTGAGGCCTTTTCCACACGGACACGGGTATTTTTATAACCGGGGTTTTTCCTACAGCGTTTAAAAAAAAAAAAATCCCGTCCACACATGCTCGGTCTCCGTCTACATGAAAACGCAAAAACACGCTATTAAGCGCGGTCAAGAGCATGCCACGCCAGCAGGCGGCGATATAAACCTTAACCGCAAAGCCACGTTGGCCAATCAGAAGCGCAAATCTGACGTCAAACACAGCGGATAACGGCGCACACTCTCTGACGTCGCAAGGCAAAACCCCGGTTTCACTAGGCTTGTTTGAGATGCGCCTTGCCTCGCCTGAAATGTAGTCGAGAGTAGGCGGCTGCAGTGAGAGGAGGAGTGAAAAAAGCGCAGGCAAGCCGGACAGATCGCTCTTCTCGCAGTGGATCTGACACCTGTGAGATCAAAGGCGGATATCGCGGGATTCACGGGATTCACACTCGTGCACGGTGTTGCTAATAAACTGGATGTATTTTAAGTTTTGTTGCTTGAATATGAAAATAAATATAATGAACAAGACACTCAAAGTACTTATTTAATTCCATTTTAAATAGGCCTATATGTTTATGAATCATTTTTTTTCTTTACAGATATGTGTTTTTATTTTTAATTAAAAAAAAAATTACACCAAATAGATCGCACTGTCTGAGAGTTTGGGGATATCCACACATAATCTATACACATAAAACATGATATCAGAGTTTTAAAATCAAACATTTTAAAAGAGAACAATACATCACGGTTGTTTAAACCAATGAGCATTAAGCTGTGTCGTCAGCAAGTCGTTTCCCATCATGCTTTTGATCAGCGTTGTCGGTGGAGAGCAACTGCGCGCGACTGCAGAATCCGACACGTGCGCCTTGCGGTCGCGAGAGTTATTTGACACACGTCGGCATGACATCAGAGCAAGGCGGACCGCACTCGGACACATTTCTAACCGGCATGCATCTCGCGCTGATCACCGGTGATCGGTTCTGCGCAGATTTTGCTCATTTCAAACAAGCCTACTGTCTACACGACAACACTGTAACCGGCGTTTCTGAAAATCCTCACCCTGGCAGGGGTTTTAAAAAATGTTCGGTTTCAGTGCGTTTTCGTGTGGACGAACGGCCGAACCGCGTAAAAAAAGTCACGGTTATAAAAATACCCGTGTCCGTGTGGACAGGGCCTGAGTTATGGTCTGGCAAAGCGTCATAGACAAATCATTTCCAGAGGGGCGTCACCAACGGACGTCGCGGATAGACCTAAACCCAATCAGAGCGATGAAGGAGATGACGTATGCAGAGCGGCGGAGAAACATCTCCGAGTGTTTGTTCTTTGCTCGGTTTTTAACAAAAAGGAAACGTTCAAATCGCTTAAAACAGACGCGATAGCTGATTGGAACGAGTGATGTTCGGCGGCGGCATCCATCTTTGTAATGTAGGCTACAAAATCTGCTTCAAAACCCCAGCGCTGTCGTCATCGTGTAAAGCCCGCCCCAACGTTTCTGATTGGTGCCGCGATTTCAGCGGATTGGAAATGGGCTTGAATGAGCTCTTTGCCAGACTAACTTTCAGAGCAAATCTAAATTTGCCGGAAGTTGTCTGGGTTTTTCCAGGCTAGTTCATACTTACATTTGAATAAAAACACTATCCCCAAGTAATACAGGTGCACTCTAACCATGTGTGGGTGCCACTGCATTGGATAACATATCAAAGCAAATGTCATTTATTTTAAAGAAAGCATTTTTCAAGTGTGTGTGTGTGTGTGTGTGTGTGTGTGTGTGTGTTGATAGTTAATTTGATGAACTCCACCTGTGGTTATACTGCTAAAAAAGACCCGTGAACTTGAGGAGGACTGAGGTCATCCTCTTAAAAACACCAAAGACACTGAGTAAAATGAAGTGAAGAGAAAAGCTCATGCAGATACAGGCACTAATATTGAAATTGTATTGATTTCCATGAGACTTCAAGTGTGACTTAAAACTCTAATCATATCATATAAAACAACTTAATCTCTATCATGGCCACATAGCGGTGAAACCATTACTGTCAATCCAGCAGCACACACACACACACACACACACACACAGAAGACGCTTCTGGTTGGATGACTTCAACCTCTTGGTTTAACCGGTTTTACCTGATGTTCAGGATGTAACTCAACAGCGTCCTCTACAGGTGGAGCTCCATTAATACTCTGGTTCTGCTTCAGGAGCACATGACACCAGCACATTTAGAGAGACAATTAAAGCCTTAGATTCCACACATACTGACAATAACAGTGTATTAAATGCGTTAAGAAAAAAATATTGTTCCCAACTATGGCTTTTGGAGACAAAAAATATGCAACATCACCACCATCTAGCTTGAATAATGGACTACTTTTCACATGTGTGTCACATTGATAACCTTGGTTTTCAGCAGCTCTCAAGGCCTGTTGTACTGATGTTATTCCTGCATGATTTCTGCAGCAGGTGGAGGTTGAGGTCAAGAGATCCTGTTGAGGGGAAAAGCAGTCGCCATCTGCCCGCCTAATTCCCACAGGTGGCTTCTGTCTCGACCCATTACAGGATCAACTGAGACACAGGAGCCGACCTGACCGCCTGCCCAAGCAAAGTAACTTTGAGTGAATTTATATTAGTGCTGTCAAATCGATTGTTTGAGAATAATCGCATCTAACATAAAAGTTTGTATAGGCCTATATGTTTGTGTGTGTATATATATATATATATATATATATATATATATTTATATACAGTATATATATATATACACAGTATATATATATATATATATATATATATATATATGATGCAATTAACAACACTTATTTATATATTTAAAAAATCAACAATTTCAGAATTGAAATACTGAGCAATGTAATGACACCTAATAAATCATGATGTAAAAAATGAAAATGTTTAAGTTCTTATGAAAAAAACTAAACAAAATAGAATGTCCTCGTTTGAAAACGAGGACATATTTTCCTCGTTTTTTATATATAATTATTTTAAATAAATACATTTCTGTAGCTCAAATAGCCTAAACAAAACATGTAGAAACGCCAAGATCCTGGGTTTGATTTTCAGGCAATGCATAATCGTTGAATGCAATATAAGTCGCCTTAAATACAACCATCTGCCAAATGCATGAACGTAACATTTATGCAACTTCCATAGACATTGAAATTCATATTATTAGTGGACCATCAATAATAGTTTTACGTTGAGCCTTTATGCTGTCTTCGCATGCTATCGGAATTATCGTAGTTTCCTCGTTAAAAATTGGACATGACCGTCCTCTCAAGTCGAATTTACCACTGTGAAGCCGAGATCATTTTGATACGTTCCCGAGTTGGGAGGGAAATTTTAAACATGGCGGAGGGGAGAACGATTGCTGTTGTGACTGCTATTTTAAACTTCCCTCTCGATACGGTTCACCCGTAAAAACAACTTTTTCCTCGAATGTTGAAGCCTGTGAAACTCTGAAGCCTGTGGTTGCTTGCTTTCTAAAAGGGGCTAGAAGGCTCAACCCGCCTCATCCCTTACCATTCCCATGTGGGACCTGTCGACGGTCCTTTCTACTTTAGCTTAAGACCGCCCTTCTGCTAGCATTGGCATCGGTCAAGCGAGTGGGTGATTTGCCAGAGCTCTCCGCGAGCGTTTCTTTGCCGTAAGTTTGGGCCTAACGACTGCAGAGTCGTCCTGAAACCAAGAAACACGGCTATGTACCCAAGGTTTTCCCAATAAATAGGAAAGAATAATCCTGGTACCCTCCATGATTCCTGTTTTTTTCCGACAACAAAGCACACGACGAGCTCACGACTTCAGAAGTGGGAAGTAGGACATTTCCGATTCCGTCCCTCCACTCAAAATCCTTGAAGAAGTTCAAGAGTTTATACATCGCTAAACTTGTGTGGCTTAAAACATTAAATTCAATATATTTCCACATTCTACAGCACGAGCACCAGCCGACACCTGTGAGTGGGACATTAGAGGCTAAACGCTGCTGTTCAGAGGGTTTTGTGTGATTTCAGTGGTCAGATCCACTCAGAGCCTGAAGCCTGCGGTAAGTATCATTGTGCGGGTAATTGTTATTCTGTGACGGCGGCAATTACGTCCCGCCGTGAGAGTCCCAGATTGCCGAGGGAAAAGCGTATAGCACAATGATGTAAAAGAATAAGATCTGATTAAAAGCTTTAGTGCCATACAGACCTTTGACAGGGCCGTCTGAACGGGCCAAGTTCATTTTCCTTGAAGCAAATCTACCTCTAGTCTAATTTAAATGTACGAGACGAAAACATGTTAACTCTTTTTTTGTTTCAACACACATGCATTTCTAAATCTTTTAAAACACTGTTTAATATTACACAATCTTGCGTACAAAATGAAGTAAACAGTAGAAATGAAGTTGTAAACAAAACATCAGACTGTACAGGAGTACAGCAGGTGTAACGCAGACATCAAATCCCTCTCCTTCAGTCTGTTCATCAGCTTATCCACTGCTACAAATCAAGGGTACTGGGCCAAAACACACACACACACACACACACACACACACTACCGGCTCACGCACACGTATACACAACATATTACAGGTGACGCTATATCTGGTAACACTTTACAATAAGGGTGTTTGTTAACATTAGTTAACAAGGCTACACTTCTACAGCATTTATTAATCTTGATCTCAACATTTACAAATACATTTTTAAGATCAAAAGATGCGTTAAATTAAATTAGTTAATGTACTGTGAAATAACATGAACATTTTTTTATGAACTTACATGAACACAACTGTAAATGCTGTAAAAATATATTGCTCATTGTTAGTTCATGTTAGTTAATGCATTATTGAAGCTTTATTGTAAAGTGTTGCTATATATATATATATTATATATCCTTTAATTTTTACTATTCTTTAATAATAATATATTATTTAACATGTCTACAAATGGTTTCCAGTCCTTTTCTCTTCTCTTACTCCAACCACAAGGGCTTTTACAAAAAGTATACAATAAAAATGATTAATTTTCTGTAAATAAATGCAATGATGTATACAATAACTTATTAATTTCTCTGATGTCATTATTAATGTCTCTGAACTCTGCATCATTGCTTAAAACGTGACCTTAGGAAATTTGTACATCAACAGAAATGATCGTTTTGTTGATGTATAAAATAAATGTCCTCAACATGAAATCAGAACTGACTATTTACTTTCTTAATGCACATTTTTGGGTAGTTTGTGCATGATTCACTCCACGCTATTACAAAGAAACAAAATGCTAGTCACTGTAATGTTTATAAAAAAGATATATAATTTGGTTCGCCTCCAAAATGATGTTCCGTTCCATTTCAGCCACTTTTCACGATAAGTTCACGTCCCGTCCTACAATGTTTCTCGTCGAATATCCTGTTTGATTTCGAAATGCATCACAGTTAAATGTGTTTGTGAGTCGCATCTCATCTTGACTTGACTTTAAACTGACTCAAACTCCCCGTCACTGAAGCTCAAAGCCCTGGACGCAGCTCAGCTTCCTCCACCATGTGTCCGAGAGCTGTTTGAGTTTATCTGGAGTTTTTTCCCTCAGCGTGAGCATCCTCGGCTCGTCCGCGCGCCGCATGCTGGCCAAGATGGCGCCGTCGAACACTTCCTTGAGGTTCTTCTGCGTCAGTGCGGAGCACTCGGCGAACGTCCCGGCACCGATGCTCCGGGCGCACAGGCGGGCCTCGTCTCTGCTCACCGGTCTCTCCTGGACGCCTGCGAGTCGGATCAGCACCTGGACGTCCTCCTGCAGGTCGCACTGGGTGCCCACGAGGATGATGGGAACGCCGGGACAGAGGCGATGAACCTCGGGGGCCCAGCGGTCCGTCACGCTCCTGAAGGAGGACGGGAGAACCACGCTGTAGCAGAGCAGGAACACGTCAGCATCACGGTAACAGAGAGGGCGAAGCCGATCAAACTCGTCCTGTTAAACATGAGAAAAAAAAGAGTGTGAGAACTTGACTAAAATGCTGGGATGAACTGATATGAAAAAGTTGGCAAATACGATAACCGATACTTCTTTAAATTGGGAAGCCAATATATCGGCCGATAAATAATCATTTTTGAGAGCCTGATTACGAAAACAAAAGTCTCACTGTTAAAAGCCATGTCCCAAGCACACAATTATAATGCTTTTATTGTGATTTTATGTAGCTGATATGCCAAACTTGCGCTGCACATGTTGCACTGCACTGTATTTTCCTTTTTTGAAGTGATTTCAATCATATTTCAAGCAATTTAAAACAATCATGTTGAACAGTGCGCATCTGATGTGTCTCAGCTGAAGGAAATAATATATTATTTATCGGCTTTAATATATCGGCCAAATTTTCTTATTCTTATCGGCCGATAACGATAACATAAAAAATGTACATATATCGGCCTATACCGATATATCATGCATCCCTAAAACCTAATAAGTTAATAATTCAAGTATTGTGATATTTATCATGCACCAGACAAAACCACTTTTATGTTAATGCACTTTAAATTAAGTTCAAAACGTAGGTTTGGGAGGAGCCTAAACATTCAGTCCTGTCAACCATCATTATGAGCTTAGTACTATATAAGCTGCAGACACACCACGTCA